ATTTACCACTTTTATTTCTACTCCATTTAATACAATCTAGACGAAATGCAATAAAATATTTAAATTACTCCCCAGTGCTTCCAGACAAAGTGGTTACTGATAAAGTAAATGCAGACGGTCATTCAGTAGTACTACGCCATAACTGAACATGCATATTTGTTCAAAGAATGCAGAAAGTTAGAATGTAGCCTCCAACAGGAGACTTCAGGTACCTATAAATGTGGCACAGTCAGATGCAGATAACAAAAAGTATGGGTCCAAACAAAATGGAACATATAAAATTCAAGGAGGACCCATAAAACTTATGGTACACTACAATTTTATATAATTAGAACAAATCTATAACAAAAGGTGTACTTACAATGTCAATTATAAATAATACAAAACTTTTTAAAGAAGATATACAAACCTTAGGCATAAAGGTTTTCTCAGACTGCTGCCTCTTCTCTTTTAGCATCTTCATTTCTGATAATATGCTATCTCTGGACGCTTTAAATTTCCTTTGCTGAGTCTCTATCTGCTGCATCTGGTTCATCAACTGGTCGATTTCATTATTAATCCATATACAAGGCTAAGGAAAATTCTTCCCGGATTGTAAATAAATTTTATGCTCTAAATCTTCTTCAGTTCTTATAAACACACCACCAATCCCTCCCATTTCCTACCCTTGAGCAACAGCAATATCCCCGAATTTAAAGATTATGACAGTGCTGAACTACCTGCTAAATGTGTTCAATTACAAAAGCAGCTGGAAATATTTCACCATACCACTTCACTTTCAAAATAACATGCATATTTTATTTTACTAATAGCCATCCCAAAAATTTCTGGGAAACCCTACAGGGAGCTAATTGAAATGTGACTGTGTGTGTGTGTGTATATAATTTTTTTTAAAAATATGGAACGCTTCACGAATTTGTGTCATCCTTGCACAGGGGCCATGCTAATCTTCTCTGTATCACTCCAATTTTAGTATATGTGCTGTAGAAGCGAGCACGTGACATTATATTTTTAACATACCTTTTGATTCAATAAATATTTTACACTCTTTTATGCTTAAGGCACTATACTAGAGAGCTCTGTATGAAGAGTGGGTCTTGTTGAATGTGGAAGAAATCAATCTAATTAGATTATCAAGTATAAGAAGGAAGCTGGTATATGCTGTCAACCACACCCTTTTTACTTAGTACTTCCTTATACTTTATGTACTTAAAAATTATCCTTTAATTTATTATTATTTTTATTATTTTGTTTGCTAGAGTGCACATGTAATCCCCAGAAAGAGGCAGGAGAGAGAAGGAAAGTGAGAAAGCAAGCCGCCAGATCCAGGACTTGAACTGTGGTTGACCATGTGGGTATCCAGCACCTTAACCATCATGCCACCTGCCGGCCCTTTATTTTTTTAAGAGAGATTTTTGCTATAGGGCACATGCACTCACTGGAGAGACAGACAAAGACAGAAGGCAGGAAATCATCCCCCCACGGAGGATGGCCATGCCGCAATCCCTTCTCCATTCTCCTCTCAGGATCTTGGGCATGCACATGCTTGCGCCCAGCATGAATTTTAAGCTGCCGGGTCTGGAACTCAAACCGTGGTAAACTACGTGGGAGACTAGTGACATAACCATTATGCCATTTGTTGGTTCCC